TTAAAATATGAATGACACGCTCAGAAGTTTAAAATGACAGTCAATTGGCATGGGTGGGGTTAAATTTCTTTTCCAACTAGTTAACAAGGACCTAGTCTGTTAATTAGGCTAATTATCACCTGTTCATGGCAAAAATGCAATCAAAACTCTTGGCTTAAGTAGTAAGTTCCCAGATGAGCTGTCTAAAAGCACTCAAGGGAGGTTTGCAGCTCTAACAGGCTGCAGAGCAGGGTCTGGTGCTGCCAACCCTCCTGGTCTTCACCTTTTGTGGTTTCTTATTATGAATTATGATCATGTTATTGTGTTCTCTGCAGTAGAAAACTCTCAAAATCCAGCCTAATGTAGTTATTTAGATAATTATATTGAACACATTTGTTTCATTTACCGAGACCTGTGCCCCTGCACGAAGTGACCAAGGTGCTCAGTACAGCCAGTGTGTGTTTTTAGTCAATCAGTTAGGCACACTAGTGAATGTTGTTTTCTATATAGCTCCAAGTTGAACACTGTATTCAAGGTTTATCTAGAAGTTTGACGGTTAAGGCAACCAGGGTTAACCATTGAAAAATATTCAAATATTTACTATACTTTTAAATTTCTTATTAATAGTGCCTAGAGTTTAAAAGTGGTTATTTCTTACTGCTGCTGCTCCTTTTTCTCCTCCTCTTTCTCTTCGTATTCCAGCTTCTCTTCCTCTCCCTTCTGTTCTACCTCCTGCTTTTCCTCTCTTCCTCTTCCACCAATTTTTTTCTAGCTCACTTGTTGTCTTTCCCAAAAGCATTAGTGTCTCATGACTGTAGTATTTTTAGATAGTGGCTTTATCATCACAGCACTTCCGCACTTTGCTGGACCATCCTGTGAGACACAGTGTGAGATGCTGGAGTGGGGTCATGGATGCTGAAGGTCTTCCTCTGTGCTCGTCCTCTGTGTCGAAGCCAGCAGCTTCATTCAGGAAAGGGATGATCGTTCAGGGCTCTGTGGAAATTGACATGGTAACCTTACTGGGCAAAGACTTCATGATGTTCATCTCTCACTTTGTCATTATATCATTATTAAATTATGCTCATTAAAAGGATCCTTCTGTTCTAAAGAAACTGCCTATGCTTTGGTAGCATTTGAATAACTTAGAATTTGTTGAAATATTTATTTGCTCAGGCTGTTTTTCTAGGAATCAAATAAACTTTGTTCTTTTATAGTTCTGTATTTTGTTTATTTATAAAGAAAAGCATTGCTTACTAATTGAACTTTAGTGTTTTAAATTTTAGAATGCTTTTGAGTGGGTCCAACACTTCAGTATCACAGTTTTAAGCTCACTCACAGAATTCAGCTCACTCTTTAAGCTCCTGTGCAGCTCACCCAGGTCTCCCTTTCTTTTCTGCCTCTGCTGAGTTGTATGAATTGCTGATGGGACGGCATTGCTCTGAGGTGTTACGTAGAGGATATAAAATTATGACTTGCTTGTTTTATTACATTTTCAATATCAATTCTAAAACTTTGGAAAGTGCGGGATAGACTTTAGAAGACGTTAGCTGCAGTCTGCTGGCTTCAGAGTCTCTCGGAGGACGGTGACCACCAAGTGCATAGTTAACTCTGGCACTGTGCACTCTTCTTCCTCACGCGCAGCACAGCACAGCAAACTAGAGTGTCACAACTCTGCTGTGAGTGTCATCTGTAAAAGTGTATGCAAATGATGGCAGCCTTTTAAAATTATTTGTTTTTTAATTCTTTAAAAATATTTTATTTTGTGAGTATTTTGTGTTTGCATTTATTTTGACTGCATGTGTGTATGTGAGCCTGGTGCTTGCAGAGATCACACAAAGTCATCAGATTTCCTGGAGCTGCAGTTACAGCCACCATGTAGGTACTGGAAATTGAACCCAGATCCTTTGCAAGAGCAATGGGTGCTCTTCATCACTGAGCCATCCTTCTAGCCCCTCTAACTTGTTTTTAATGTAGGTATACCATTGAGATTTTTTTTATCCTCTGTTGATAGATATAGCCAAAGTTATTCATTTTCATAGCATAATTAGAATCCGTTTTATGATTAAACCTAACCCTCCCCTTAAGGCTGTTAAAACCTCAATAAGAGAATGTACTTCACACATGCAAGTTTATGTGAACATGTATGCCTCAATGGTATATGCCTGACAATATTCTCCAGTATCAAATTAAGGTTAGAGAAGCTCCTCATTAAATTAAGCACTACTTAAGTATTACAAGATTATCATGAATGGAACAGATTCAGAAACGCTGGGGGAAAAAATAACAATAGTCATCTTTTCTATTTTATAAGGTCAGGCAAGAAAGCTGCCTTTTTGGAACAGTTTTATCTTCATTCAGAAGTAAAGTGTGTATACAGTTTTATTAAGTTTCTAGTAAATAGAATCTACTAGCTTGAATTGTATAACTTTTTATTAACATTTAAAGTTCTAATCTGAAGAAGATAAATATAAAATTTCCTTTAAGAATTATGACTTGTGATTTTGGAAGTTAGATAAGTAATTTAAAAGTTCATTTGTGCTTTTTGATATAACATCTCTCCTGTTTAATCATTCAAAATCCAAGCAAATACTCAGAATTTTATAAGGTTAAGACATATAGAAAGCTTAATCATTTTAGTTCATTGTTAATTCTTTAACTTAAGGTGCTTAGTGGCATCCCAGTGAAATTTCATTTTCCTTATATAGCTAATACTGTGGTGAGTACTGCCTCTTCAGTTTAAGATTGAAGTGTAGACACTACCCTTGTTTTTCTTAACATAAGTCACACAAGATAAAACAGTTGGAAGGGGTCTTTGGGCACACAACCCCTTGTCTTTGCTGTGTTCACTTGTTGTGAAGGACAGGGCCAGAGCCTTCCCTCTGTTTTAGCAGTGGAACTGTGGGAACAGTGCACTCCCTGGTGAGTGGTGGTCATGCCTCTAGCTGTGCCAGAATCCAAATTATGTTTAGGAACCCGTATTCCATTCCCAGCTCCGTAGCAGTCTGTACAGATGAGCTCTTAATAGACTTTCTGTTACTGTTACCCACTTAGGCCTCACTGTGGTAGTTTTAGCGTCCTGGACCTCTCTGCACAGAACATGCAGCATTCTGTTTGAAAGGGCTTCTCTCTAAGTGTCCCTGTCCCTCTTGCAGTGTCTCCCGCCTTGCGAGGGTGCACCAGATGCCTCCCTTTGCCTCCTGTGCTCATGCAGTGCTTCCTCTCAGGCTGTGCTCTCTTGTAATGACCACTTACTCACCTTTGTTCGTCTCGCCATGTTGCAGGTGGAATCTCTTCTTAAATTGCTCTAAGCAAAATCTGTCCCCTGTAAGAGTGCGTGCCGCTGTAAGTCACTAGGCTCTCAGTTGGCCGAGGTTCGGATGGGATTTGGAGGAGAGTGGGCTGTGTGTGCTGTGTGCGCGCGCAGGGCTCTCACATCCTTTCCCAGTCCAGGGGCTTTCTACTGTTCTTCCTGTTGCTGGCATTCTCCCTCATGTCTCTCTGTTTCCAGTTGTCACCCGTCCTCAGTGTCTTAAGTCATATGTCCCTCCCTTTGAGGAGCCGCCCATCTGCCCTGTCCCTTGCTTGCTTTTTGTTTATTCTGTAATCCCCTCCTGGACATGCTTCAGGAGGGCCTTTAGAAGGGCCATTGAGGGCACAGGCCCTTTGGTGGCCTCCGTCTTCACTGGCATCAGAATGACTTAAAACAAGTGATCATGGAATATCTGACACAGAATTTATGTCAGTCTGGGAGACAGCATGCTTCCAGATAGGTGTATATAAGTGTGCCCTATGCTGTCAAGTTTATACTCACAGTTTGCCCAGTGACTGGACATACTCGTTTTTGTAAAGAAGATTGTAGAGCTCACAGCTTCCAGGAAGTCCAGTGGCAGCTTCACTTCCTTTTTAAATCTGGCTTTTGTCCTTTCTGGACAAGCATTGAGCTTTAGGCTAACATTTTTATTATATATGAATAATAGACAGCACACATTGAGGTTGTGTAGATGTAATTTTGTTAAATGCACATCATGGTAGATTTAAAACTGAGGGATTTATTTTGTCATTCATAAAGTTGTAATACAGTGTAGAGAAGCTATTTGTTAAAGATAGCATCTACTTAACCTCCTTATTTATTTCTTGTAGGAGAAGGTTAGTTCCACAGTAAATACATGGAGAAATAAGTAGATAGGGGAATTTATCTTGGAAATAAGATCCCTGCCATGGTTTTGAAATGCTAAATGCATGAAGACCCGTCAAAGAGATATACGGACATGATATTTTTTGCAGTACATTTCAAGGTATTTGGTTATATATGTCACTCTCTCGTACGAGTCAGCAGCGATCAAATGATACGGTGATTTCGGAGCCAGCCCGTGTTCACGGTGTAGACAGTGTCTTCTCACATGTTTACACAGGGAACTAAACTGGCAGTTTGCTATCAAGGAAGCACCTCAGACATGCTGTGCCATTGCTTAAATATCTGGTAAGCTTAACTTCCATTGCATTCCTGACATCATGTCATATATAGTAAAGGAAAGCTTTCTATAGAAGGTGATTTATAACTGGATTCCCAGAGTCCATGAAACTCAGTTGGCCTGTTGATATAATCTGCATTTAACACCAAATTAGTGGCCTAGTTTTTTACAGCTCAGGATTCTTTTGCTGTCCTCACAAAACTGTAGGCACTGATAAAAATTGTGGAACTACTGTATAGGAAACTACCCTTCTTGTGTTATCCCATGTTGATCATGCAAAACTGAGTTATTCCATCCTTACGTTTTTCTTCAGGCTGCCTTGGTCTCTTTTCTTATGTAATACTTACAGCTTTAAAAAATGGTATAGTTTTACCTGGCCAGTTAGCTCAGCTGGTCAGAGCATGGTGCTGAGAAAATGTTACAGTTTTAAACCACTTTTCAATGCTCCTTCACTTGATTTTTCATCATACTGAATTCATTTTTGAGCACCGTTGCTCACAACGCTTGCTTACAACTTGATTTATCACAACTAGGAAGTAAACTGGAGTGATGGGGCCACGAGTGCAGCTGGCAGAGTTGGGCCCTGAGCATGCCGTGGCTCCTACTCTGTGCCCCTTGGGTGCTGGAGGTGTTAAGACTGAAGTAGAAATTGGAAATACTTTCATAAAGAGGTATCGGCTTGCTATTTTCACACAGGACATAATGGGGATTTTTTTCTTTGGCAGTGTCATCTTAAAGTTTAATTTTTGTCTCCCATCTGAGTTCTGTTTAGCTCTGACCCTATGTCTCTGCTGAGATCATATGAGATTGGGCTTGTTATGGCCCAGCAGACTTATTTTTGTCAGAGAAAACTTTTTGTGTACCCACGTCAAGCACCCCAAGTGAACCTTTAGCCAGGAACCATCTCCAAGGAGCATGGTGATTCAGGGCTGCTGGGTGCTTTCGGGAGTAGCTGTTCCAGCTGCCCTCCTGGCGGACAGCAGAGCCTGTCTCAGTGCTTGAGCATGGATAGCATTTCATTTAGCCTTTGCTCTGACAGCCCTTGCCCTGGATAAGTGGTGTAGGCCTGTACAGGTGAAATCTATTCTCACTTTTGCCTCAGGGGTGACTGGACTGTAACAGAATTTTTCAAACCCGTTGGGCCCAACCGCAAAGCAGAGAATAAATGGCTGAAGTGCCAGGCCTCGACAGAAAAATCAATGCCTGGTTATACAGACATGACAGACCCAGCCTGCAGTTCCCTTTGCAGAGGCCGTGTGTGCGCCACACTTGAGGGTCACCGCACACTATCTGAGGTTGTAGATGTGAATGTGCCGAACTCATGTGTGTTTTCTTTTTCTCTTTCATGCAGGAAATTTACATGCCACTTATGTGATAGAAGTTTCACAGAGAAGTGGGCCTTGAACAACCACATGAAACTCCACACAGGAGAAAAGCCATTTAAGTGCACCTGGCCCACATGCCACTACTCCTTCCTCACGGCCTCAGCAATGAAAGACCACTACAGGACGCACACAGGTGTGTCATAGCTCTTCTACCTCCGGGCGGGGCAAGGAGCTACCCGGGGTTCAGGAACATGCACATTGGTTCTCTTGAAAGCTACTGTTTCGTAGAGGTTGTGGTAATTGTGTTTGAAATTAAGGTCATGATAATTGTGTAGGAAAATGTTTTCCATTCTTTCCTTTGCAATGTTGCTCAATTTAGTATTAGTTATGTGCGCACGTGTGATTAAATGTGCGCACATAAGGTTCAGATTTGATAGCTCATTTCTGGTGTTTGTGTTCCAGCTTAGCTTCTTAGATGTGACCCCTGTCACATTGGCATATTATTTTTTTTTTTTAAAAAAAGAACAGTTCTTCTGTTACTTTGTAGATATAATCTAAGTACCATAATGTTTTAAACATACTAAATGTAAACAGTTTAATAGCTCTCTTCAATAAGAAGCAGCATGAGGCTAGAGTCATTCAAGCGTTAGGCTGATTCGAACTGTCTTATAGAGGCCTGTCAGAGAACTGCTAAAAGCTCACCTTAGTATAAGGTTTGCACGAGTGCATTAAAAGTGGCCATGTGAGATATAACTTAGCAGTCTTGGATTCTGTCTGTTGAGGACATTTCTGAGGCTGGTCAGCTGGGTCCTTTATCAATACATATCCCATCATACCCCATGGCCAGGGGCTTTGTTTGTGATGGGCCTTCCTGGTCTTAGTGCAGCAGGCCACTACTTGGTGGTGATCTTGTATTTGAGTACTTGCCTTATTTCTCTCTGGGACCCTCAGCTACTTCGTATTTTTGTGACCTTCTTTCTCCTTGTACTACTCAGAATATATTTCCTGTAAGGAAAAAAAAATGTTAATCAGTATTCAGAAGTGTTCTTCTGATTGTTGTGAATCCTGTATTATTGTTAGAAATTAGAGGTTGAAAGTTCTCCTGAAGCAGTTTGTGGGAAGCCCAGGCCTCCTTAGCTGCCCTGACAAGGGTGTTGACGATTTAAGGTCTCCAGCCTGCCCTGAGAGATCACTTATATCGAACAGCAGATGAAAAGCCAGTGCAGATGTAATTTATCGTCGGCGTTTCCTTCTAAAGAATAATTGTGGAGACTTGGCTGGATCAATACTATGGATTTTTGTTGTTAGGTCTTGTAGTCTGCACCATAATGAGAGATAGGGGACAGTGGCTGTTTTTTAATAGAAAATAAAGGATTGGTTTCCGTGTCTTTCTACGTTTGAATGCAAAATGGCACACTTGAAACTAATTCAGGTTGTTTTTAAAAGAAGTCTTCCATTAAATTCCTGTTATCATTTAAATATGACATGCTAAAAAATCCCTTTTGGGTTGAATAAAATATTGCATTGGGGTTTTTCTTATTTTTTTTTCTCAAAAAAAAAAATATATATATATATATACTCTTGGCTTGCTGTTCAATAGTTAACCCCTCCATTCTCAGTCTTTAAAAAAAAATAAAGCTAGTAAAAATTGAATTGAAAACAAATCAAGCCACCAAGGTAAATAGGACATACAATACATCTGAGACTTAACACCCAAGATAAAATCCTCTACATTGAAAATCAAGGTCACTAATGTATCTACAATTAAATCACCTGAAGAGTGAATGATTTTGCCTTTTCATGTATATATACCATAAAATAGGAAAGTGAGTAGACCTAAAAATGTGCATCTTACACACATGCAGAAAATGTTAGAGTCTGTTATTTTTTCCTGTATTTATTAAGTCATTTATTTTGCAAGAAAGAAATAGGTCAGGCTGATTTCGTAAGTGAGGAGGGGAGCATGCTTGCCTAGGATGGGGCACTCCTTGTTAGCCACGCCTACTCCTTCACGCTGGCTTGGGTGCCTGCATCCTTCTGTGCCTCTGCATGGGTACGACAGCTGCTTCCCGCCAGGACACACAAGAATGTCTGCAGAACTAGGAAGGGGGAAACTGGAGAGAACAGTTTTACCTCCACATTTAAAAGCAATGCTAAGATTAGGAATAAATTGGTGGTTTTAGCATAAAAAGTCTACTTCAGTGGTATTTAATTGATAATGCAGCCAGTTAAAAAGATTTATATTTTAAATTGATTAAATAATTAGATGAGTGATTGTAATTAAACTTTATTCTTCACAGCCCATCTACTCTATTTTTAATGTATGGAAATAATGATACCAAGGAATTAAGCATGACCCCCAAAGTAGGAAACTAAGATAGCAAAAGCACTTTATTTTTGCTCTGTCTTTTGAATGATAATTACTGATTGAGTGTTCATTTGGAATTGGGATTAGAAGTATTTTGGCTATGGGCATCTTCATGTTTTCTTTCAGGTTAAGAAACCAGGTGAAGGGCTATTCTTTGGATTAGCATGGTTATTTTTTTTTAATGTTTTGTTTCTCTAACCATAGGAGTACAGTTATTGTTTGCAGATGCATCACCAGCTACATTTGTTGTAAAACCCCAAACTTGAGATAAAGCAGGCCTGTTATAGGGAACTTACCACTTTAAAGTCTGAGTGACTAAAGTCCATGAAGATGGACACAAATAATTTATATTATTTCTGGAAAAGTCTCACTGTTTTCACTCCAGTGAGCATTATTATTTTGTTTTGCCCTTCATTGTGAATCTCACAGGATAAATCGTCTAGTTAGCCAGCACTTGGTGGCTAAGTGTGCTATAATAGAATGACTATAGTACATATAGACTCGAGGCTGGGAAGCTAGCATAGGAGAAACACTAAGAAAAACAGCCATTTGTACATGTAGGAAGCCTACATCTGCCAAGCCTGCCTTTGATTCTGCAGGAGTTTCCAGGCCAGAGCTCTCACTGAAGATGAGATATGCAAATTTTTATAGATGATTTTTAGCAATCCCGGGCTTTTTTATGCCATTAAATTTGAGAAACACAAACAGCCTTGAGTTGCTCCTGGTCCTGAGTAATGTGAGTTTCATTTCCTTCGTCCCCTCAGTCTATTCCAAGAAGCCGTTTAATTCATATTATTAAGTGTAAGGTGATTAAAGAAGATCCTGATAGAATCAGGTAAAACCAATTCAGTGTGCTTCGGTTGTTAAAATTTCAATATATTTTATTTAAGCAGAATTATATATACTGTATATTAACTATTCCAAGCAATCTTTACTCAGCTCAGAAAGGCCAGATGTATGGGAATTGTAAAAAATCAGGATATGCATAAAGCTGTTCACGTGCATAAAACAGCCCCATCTGGAAGACATCTAGCAGAAATGAAGTTGTACAAAACCATTCCATTGATAATAAAGCTAATTTTTATGGGTCTGACAAGTATGTAATTATGTTCAGTGGTGCTTTTCAGATTTTATCACAGTCAATAAACCGCAGTGGTAATTTCATTCCCATTTGACATATTTACATGGAAACATTTGATTGGAGGAATTAGTAACCCTGAAAGCCTTGATAGATATGTTTTAATGATCTGTGACCTCCGCAGTCCCTCATCTGTTTATTGTTGCAACAGGCGAGAAGTCGTTTCTCTGTGACCTCTGTGGCTTTGCAGGAGGGACGCGGCACGCCCTCACCAAGCACCGCCGGCAGCACACAGGTCAGTCCCGAGTCTGCTCCTGACTTTTCTCTGCAGGGTGAGGTAGGGTGTTAGACACCCAAGCCCTGATGGCCCGTGGCCTTGTTTTCCTCTTTATTCTAGGGCTTTGCAAATGAGAATTTCTATAGGCCTTCACTTCCATCACAAACACAGAGTTGATAGAATTCAGATTGGCTCTTGTCACATACTTAAGAAGCAGATACCTGTATATCGCAGGCATCCCCGCAAGAACTCCATCCTAAGTGGGTAAAGAAACAAACTCCCCAGGTTCAGATATTTGAGGCTGTTTTCTCTCTGCAAAGCTCTGTCTTAGCCTCCTGCCTGGGTCCTAGGGAGCTTCATTGGGCCTTGGCTGTTCTCTCCCTATGTCATACCTCCCTACCCATTGCCTGCTTGCTTTATACCCCATCTGGCTCTCTGCCTGCCTGTCTCCTAGTTGTATCCATCTGTCTGTAAGTCCCTGTGACTCCATGGGAGTCAGTGCTCTTGCAATTATCCCTGCTGTGAAGAGAATAACACCAAATTCACAACACAGGAGATAAATAAGGACACGGAGGAAAAGCTGTCCCATGATACTCACTTTTCATTATTCAAGAAAAGAAGATGGAATCCCAGACGCTTAATTTGAGAATTCTAAGCAACATGAGTCAGGGTAGCATTGTCTTAGGGTAGCTTTCTTTTGTAATTTTCAGTAGAACCACATTTTTCTGCCATTAAGGCTTAGCTAATGAGACAGTCACAGTCCATGTGGTGTGAGATTCCTGTGCCACGCCTTCCTAAAGAGGGAAACATTCTCTCCTGAGGGTGTGGCCCCGGTAGGATTCCATCAGTGCTCCAGGGAATGCCCTCATACCATGCACACATGAACAGCTTTAACTGGTTTACTGGGTTACTTAAAAAAAAAAAAAAAAAAAAAAAAAAAAAAAGACCAAAAGATGGCGGAGAACCTGTTGGGTGACATGGGGGAATTGGCTGGGAAGAAGTAGAGAATACATATTGTGCAATATTATTTGTAATACATGAATGAAATTCTTGAGAATATAGAAAATGTAAATATATATTCCTTATAGAATATTGAGATTCATGTTATACAAATATAAGCCACTTCCCTCCTCATATTTCCAGAATCACTGAAAATGAATTATAGTCATTGCTTTTATAGTTGAGTTTACTGGGACGGAATTTCCAAAGTGATAAGAACCATTGAGATGAAAATAAACGTTTGATTTCTAACATGGTCAAAGTACAACTTTAAATAACAGAAGCCATGTGTGCATGCATTCAAAAACTTGTGTATAAGGATTTAGGATAAGGGGGCCTGCAGGTGCCAGCTGTGCTTGTATAGCAAATGGAAAGAAAAGTTGAAAGTATATGCAGTCACGGGGTATCTTATTCATGTTTTCAGCTTATTGGTAACGCAAAGTTTTATGATCTCCGTGGCAGTTTTGTTTTCCTGGTCCCATCCCACGTGACTCCATGGGACAGCAGACCCCCTTGTGCCATCTCTCCAGCTGTGGCATTCCCCTTTGCCCTGCAGTGGAGGCAGGCCGTAACGCTGCAATCACAGACATTCCAGGTGATGGATCGATCAGGAAGCCTGCATCGAGCTGGCACAACTTTATATTTTATGTCAGGTCCAGAGGCGCCTTATTACTTTGCTATTAACTTTATACCATATAGGACAATGTCTCACAGACAGGGGTATCTGTCTTTCTGGCATTTATCTGCCTCTGTGGCACAAATCAAACATGATTCTTTAATACCAAAGTCAGTTCTTAAAAGACACGGCCTCCACAAACAGCTCAGTCCAACTCTGTCTAGGCACTTAGCTTTTATGTGGGACCTAAAATGTTTAAGCAATGCATCCCCCCCACCCCGAGGCTGGACTTGATGTTACATTTGAAATCTATATTTCTTTGATGTGTCTGTCTTTGACATGGTTTACCTTTTTACCACAGTTTCCAGGCAAATTACAAGCAGCTCAGAAAGGGATAGGTATCCAAAGTGTTCCACATGGCGTAAATAATTCCTGACCGAAATGTAGGCTGTCTAGGGGGCTGACACGAAACATCTTCCATTCTGAGATTTACTTTTATCACCTGTCAGAGACCCTTGATTCAAGGGCACAGACACCAATCCTCACATGCAGTTGGAGAGACCTGGCCAGCTTAATAACCACCAGTCCACCCTAAGGAATGTGAAGTGTGATTTCCAGGGGATGTGGTTGGCTAGTCTGACAGATGTTTGACATACAAAAAGACAGGGCACTATGGCAACAAGCTATCCTGGTGTCTGTTTTTCCTCCTTTTATCTCTGTAAAGCCTAAGAGGCAAAGTGTTTTTTGTTGGGTATTTTGTGCAAGATTAGTGTTTGTAAAGGAGAGCATTTATGAAATGGAAAACAACAGCCCAATAGGGTGAGCTGTGATACATGAGGCAGAAGGGATAAGTATGGTTATAAGAAGAGCACACATTCTCCTTGTTCTGTGCTTCCCCTCTGGTTTTCAGTTATGTTGCTTAGACTCGTCTTCAGTTCACAGGCTGTAGTGACGCCATCTGACTCTGCCACCCAAGCAAGTATAACTTTGGGGCCACAGCAGTGCGGTGTCTAAGTCCCTGTTGATTTACACATGAAGTCATTGAGTAATTACTGTTGTAGCTCAGGTTGATTTTGGCTTTGGAATGAGAGACAGGTTAGAAGTGGTATTCCCATCAGTACTCTAACCAGATCTTCTCAGTAAAGGTGAAATCTCACCATCCCCAACCCAGACACAGAACTCAGGCAACTGAGGACTGTTGAGAGCAGGAGAACGGGGCGTCCCCAGGGAGACCTTTCTAACTAAGGCTTCTGTACCAAGTGGTTTGCCCTGAAAATCATGTGCAGACAAGCAATAGCAAATGGACTCAACAGGTTATTTATTCTCTCCCTCTCTCTCTCTCTCTCTCTCTCTCTCTCTCTCTCTCACTCTCCCCACCTCTCCCTTTCCCTGTGTGTCTCTCTCTGTGTGTATGTAACAATAATTTAAAATAAGCTATGCCCGTACATATGAGCCATGTGGTGGGGCATGGGAGAAGTTGGCAGGAGAAAGGGAGAAATGACATAATTATATTTTAAGTCATGAAAAGTGAGAAAACTCCGTCACAGCGAGTGTACACATTCATTATACTTTTTAGTTTCAAAAAATTATCGAATGTTTAAGGAATTGAAACTCTTGTTTCAAACCTTTAAGATTTCCTTTGAGTCTTCACAGTTTGGGTGTCTGTATTAACCTCTTTACATGTAGCAATAGTAACAGACATGAAGGTAGGTTTTTCTTAAGAAATTAGTCATTCCTTAGCAATTCATAAATTTCATATTAGTAAAAAAATGTTGAACACGTAACAGATTGGCAAATTGTATGCGTTCCAAATTAACCATCATGGTACATATTTGAATAAAGTATATTCTGTGTAAGTTGCCATATGTCAAATGTGTCTGGCCTTTCTCTACACCTTAGCATTTCTATGCATAATATTTCACATAAGATTTTGTTGAATCATATATTTGCCTGCCACCTTGTATGTAATTAAAAACACCTTAATATTACCCAATTTAATCTGTGGTACAGTCACAGCAAATGTGAAATGGCACTCTCCAGTTTACCACAATAAAATCCTAGTTTAATATAAACTTCTAATTAAATTATTAGAATAAAAAATTAAATGGCATTTTATTAATGTGTAGATTTTTACTGTAAAGTGTCACAAGAAATTTCATGAAAGTGTAAATGAAAGAACCTACATTAACCAGACGTCCAGAGCTTATGTTAAGCTTGCAAACCCAGAAAATTAACGTTGAAAACTTTAGATCTTTAATTCATATACTGCCGTGGACAGTAGGGTTTGTGGTCCCACCTTTTACTACTGTTACGTGCCTGCAGCATCCACGAAAAGAGGGTAACTTGAAGATGTCCGCCAAAGCTTCCAGTAAGAAAACATTAGCTATGTGCAAAAGCAGTCAACAGTGCAGAAGGTGAATGGGTGAGGAGACAGCTGGCATACATCTATAAATTTCCACAGTGACCGTATACAGATTTGTACGTAACTTAGATCCACTATGTGGACAATGAAAGCTTGTTATGCCTCTGATTGGCTTGTTTGTGCACAAATAGATCAACAGGAAAAAATGCACCCATTCTGCTTAGGCTATATGTGAGTTCTTTGTAAACATGGTCTTCTACTCTTCAGTCTTGAGAAGATGTACAGAGTCATTTCACTGGAAGACTAGAAGCCCTGCCCATCACACCTGAATGAGACCTAAATGAGTGAACTGCTACAGGCTCCAGCCAGCAGAACTAACATTGTTAAGACTTGGGTTTCTGCTGCATGGAACTCGGCAAACTCCTTCTTTTGTAAATCTATAAAACTAACTGGAAATTCTTGTAGAAATGCAAACTCCGAAATAATCAAACAAGCTTGAGAAGGAACAGAGTTCCTAGCCCCAAGGCTAACCCTACAGTAGTCATATCAATCAGTATTAACATCAAGGTAGACAGATTTGTAAGAGGGACAAATGTGTCTTAGTATCTACTTTGAAACACTGCTAGGTAGTCTTTCAGATGCCTTCTGCGGTAGACTCCTGTCATACGTTCAATGCATATCCCATTTGTCTTTCTAAACGAGGATTGATCATCTTACCCCGTGTCCGCTTTCTTGATTATCTTCTTTAGGTGTATAGACTTCATTATGTTTGTCATATCTTGTAGGTCTGTATAAGCGAGTATATTCCATGTTTGTCTTTCTCCTTCTGGGATACTTCACTCAGAATGATCTTTTCTAGATCCCACCATTTGCCTGCAAATTTCATGATTTCCTCTTTTTTGATTGCTGAGTAGTATTCCATTGTGTAAAAATACCACAATTTCTGCATCCATTCCTCCGATGATGGACATCTGGGTTGTTTCTAGGTTCTGGCTATTACAAATAAAGCTGCTATAAACATGGTTGAGCAAGTATCCCTTTTGTGTACTTGAGCAAACTTTGGGTATATACCTAGCAGTGGTATAGCTGGGTCTTGAGGAAGCACTATTCCTAATTGTCTGAGAAAGCACCAGAATTGACTTCCAAAGTGGTTGTACCAGTTTACATTCCCACCAGCAATGGAGGAGGGTTCCCCTTTCTCCACAACCTCTCCACGATATGTTGTCACTTGAGTTTTTCATCTTGGCCATTCTGATGGGTGTAAGGTGAAATCTCAGGGTCGTTTTGATTTGCATTTCCCTAATGGCTAATGAGGTTGAGCATTTCTTTAGGTGTTTCTCTGTCATTCGATATTCCTCTATCGAGAATTCTCTGTTTAGCTCTGTTCCCCATTTTTTAATTGGATTACTTGGTTTGTTGCTTTTCAGCTTCTTTAGTTATTTACATATACTGGATATTAGCCCTCTGTCAGATAAAGGGTTGGTGAAGATTCTTTCCCAATCTGTAGGCAGTCATTTTGTTTTGATGACGGTGCTATTTGCTTTACAGAAGCTTTTCAGTTTCATGAGGTCCCATTTATTGATTGTTGATCTTAGAGCCTGTGCTGTTGGTGTTCTGTTCAGGAAGTTGTCTCCTGTGCCACTGAGGTCAAGGCTCTTCCCCACCTTTTTCTTGTAATAGATTTAGTGTGTCTGGTTTTACATTGAGATCTTTGATCCACTTGGACTTTAACTTTGTGCAGGGTGATAAATATGAATATTTTTGCATTTTTCTACATATAGACATCTAGTTAGATGAGCACCATTCATTGAAGATGCTGTCTTTTTTTCAATTGTATGGTTTTGGCGCCTTTGTGTATTCACTTATAAGTGGATATTAGCCATATAATGTTAGATAAACGTACTAAAATCTGTAGTCCTAAAGAAGCTTAACAACAAGGAGGACCCTAGGAAAGATGCTTAATCCTACTTGGAAAGACAAACAGGATAGACATTGGAAGTAGGAGAAGAAAAGGAAAAGGACAGGAGCCTTCCATAGAGGACCTCTGAAAGACTCTACCCACCAGGGTATCGAAGGCAATACTGAGACTCATAGCCAAACTTTGGGTAGAGTGCTGGAATCCTTATCGAAGAAGAGGGAGATAGAAAGACCTGGAGGGGACAGGAACTCCACAAGGAGACCAACAGAGCAAAAATACATGGGCCCAGGGGGTCCTGCAGAGACCGATACTCCAACTAAGGACTATGCATGGAGAGGACCTAGACCCCCTGTTTAAAGGAAACCCATTGGCTGCTCAGTCTCCAAGTGGGGTACCTAGTAAGGGGTTCAGGGACTGTCTCTGACATGCACTCAGTGGCCGGCTCTTTGATCACCTCCCCCTGGATGGAGCAGCCTTACCAGGCCACAGAGGAAGATGATGCAGCCAGCCTTGATGAGACCTGATAGACTGAGGTCAGATAGAAGGGGAGGAGGTCCTCTCCTGTCAGTGGACTAGGGAAGGGCAAAGGGGGAGAAGAGGGAGGGTTGGTGAGACTGGGAAGAGATGGCCCGGAGCTGGGGTGGGCATACAAAGTGAATAAATTATAATAAATTAATATATAAATAAATTTAAATTAAAAAAATCATTTTATAACTATGGTAATAGCATAGTTTTATAAAAGAACGAATACCGGAAAAATAGTTGAATTTTCATGTAAAGTAATCACTACTGGTACTGAGAATTAAATGAATTGCAGACTCGATAGAAGTATGTTAATATCGCAAGTGTTATCAAGGATCTTTATGTAGAGCATAACAACTCTTCTAGATACTTCTGAGGAGGCAGCCATCAACTTCCTAAAGCAGTCAGATGTTTAAGTAGATGCCTCACCACAGAGTGTGATGTGATGGCCTGTCATATAAGCACATGGCATGCTTATACAATCAATAGTATTCTCTAAAGGTACAGTAATTTACATCTTCGCCATATAGCCTCATTTAAAAAAAAAAAAACTGTATCTCGTAAAAGATGTGCCACGCAAAATACACTTGGGTGTGTGTTGTGTGTCTCTGTTAATGTCAGTCAGTCACTGAAATTGAACTATCTACTGTGACTGAAGTTGTTTCACCAAAGGTTTAGAAATAGAGATCAAAGGGTGACTGTAGACCTGAGGGTTGCCTTCGGTAGTGTTAAAGATGGAGTTTATCTTAAAGACGGATGCCTTGAAGAGAAAAGGTCCTTCTACAGTAAACGCTCGTTTACTGTGCTTGGAAGATGCTCTCTGATTTTTTTAAACCTGGACTGAAGCAAACGCAGTGGTTCCTGGGGCAGACGTACACCGTGTGGCATACGTCACACTCAGCGGCGTGTAAAGCGCCCAGTCAGTGCTGTGTGCCTTGTGTCTTGCCTGCTGACCCGGCTCTGGGGAGCGAGCGGTGTGTGTCGCTGCTTCATCTCTGGGTGAGACTGCAGCTGCCAGGCGAACAGAGCCCATCCAGGGCTCTGCTCAGGGTGTCTTCCTCGTTTTCTGTCCCTGCTGTCCTCACACTCACCCTGCATTCACCGCTCTCATCCTTTTGGTCTTTCTCAAGAGGTCTGGCAGGTAGAAGTGAGGTGTGGCGAAGCCAGGCTGCAGTCCCATGGGCTTCCCAGCCACTCTCTCTGCTTCATGGGCGCTCAGACCATCAGGCAGGATGCGTGAGTGTGAGCTCAGTACCCTCATAGCAGGCAGGGAAGTGGAGTGAGGTCTGTTGGCGGTGCCTTTACTGCTGGCCACGCTGAGCCTGTTGGCGCAAGCATACTTGACTGCGTGCTGGTGCACAGAAGGCTGAGCCGGAGGAGCTGCCCTGAGCCCCACACTCGTTCTGTGAGGCGAGCGCCTCCACGCACACACATGCAGTCCGTGCACACACAGATAAAGGGTTTTTCGTTTTGAGACAGGTCAGTGTATGTGGAGTACTATCAGGAAAAGCAGAAGTGGCAAGTGCGGTATTGTTGCCCGGGGAAGCGTCTGTGTGAGGGGTGCAAGAGTGAGAGGCTTCTTCCCTCGTCCGCTGCAGAGAAGCAAATGCAACGTGTGCGTGCTTGCTGGCTCCCCGCAACCTAGGGAGGAGCCACAAGCCGATCACTCCAGTAGTGTCGGCTCAGCCAGCACGCTCAATTTATCATTTGGCTTAGTCATTCTCGTGTTAGAAGTGTTTTAGTTTTTGTTCAAGATTCTGATGTCTGCTATGCATTTTATGCGCATCTCCATTTAAAGAGCAGAGTTGCCTGCAAAGTGTGTAATATAGATTGAGTTTTGATAAATGTTGTACCCAAAAAATAGCTCGCATTTCTAAGCTAGGCCAGGCGCACTACAACAGTTCTCAATAGCTGGGCTGGGTTAGGTTCCAAAGTTGAATTTATATTAATTGGAAGTAAGTGGCCTTGGTTGAGTTGCTCACCAACCACTATAGCTGATGAAATGGGAAGTTATCTGAGTGAGTGTGGAGGAGCAGGAGCACTCCATGGAGTGAGCGTGGTGAGCTGCTACAGGAGCACTCCATGGAGTGAGCGTGGAGGAGCAGGAGCCCTCCATGGAGTGAGCGTGGAGGAACAGGAGCACTCCATGGAGTGAGC